GGCCACGCACGCTCCACGCAGCCTTCGCCGCGGCCGGGACGGGATTTTGCGGGCCGGCTCTGGCGGAAACCGGCGTGGCCCGGGCCCCGCGCGAATCTCGTCGGCTAGATGGGGAGGGGAGGGCGCGTCGGTGGCACGTGAGTCACAGCTTGCTTTGCCTTCAGCCCCGGGCTCCTTTCCTTTCCCGGGTCGGCGAATCGAGAGTCAGGGCCGCCCCAGCCTAACTCTTTTTTGTTTTATTTCTCAGAATGTCAAAAGCAAGCTAGCCCCGGCGTCTGCTCACTCCAGCATCTGAAAAAGTTGGTGGCAATCGCCAAAGGGTGACCTGGCCCGCGCTCTTCGGGAGGCCGAGTCGTCCACGGCCGTCTGCCTGAGAACCGCCACGCGGGACGGGCGCGGGCCCACCCAAAACCCGCAGGAGGGCGGGGCCCGGCGCCCGCGGCCACCCCCGCCGTGACTCAAAAGAAAGCGCTCGGTATGGTTCCGGCCTCCACCCTTGGCTCTAAACCTTCTGCACACGGATCTCCAGACGCGCCCTCGAGCACCCGTAGTCAAGGGGAGGGCTTGGCGTGGCGAACCCGCGGGGTCCGCCGGCTAGCTGGAAGTTGCTTCTGGAGTTCCTGCCCCCGTCCGTAGCGCGGGGTCTCCGGGAGGCTGGTGGTAGGTGAAGAAGGCCCAGCCAGTCACCAGACCCATCCACCCGTCCTTCCGTACGAGCAGGCTCAAGTGAGGAGGATGGAGTGGTCATTGTAGAGATGCTCAAATATGCGGGCATGAACACAGGACGTTTACTTTCTATTAAGACCTGAGGTAGTTTTTCTCCCCTGTAATGCGTTGTCCATGGCGCAGGAGTCATGCTTTCCCCTCCTTCTCTCCATCTTACTATGATTATTACCGTAGGGTATTGCTTACTACTATTATTATTACTACTACTATTATTGTAGAGCTGTTATAGCATTCATTGGAAAACCAGCAAACCGATCTCTGCGGACTAAACTGCTTTCATTTCAGGTCATTCAACATTTAATAGTAAACTCATCAAATACTATATGGTTACATTAGAAAGGAAATATCATTTCGTGTTTTTTTTTTGCTAAATATCCAGGTTATAAATTCATTTTCAACTACCTCCTTATTTCAGCAATCAAGTTTGTTAAATCTTTTGATTTGTTTCATGCACTACCTACAAATAAAAGTTATATTGTGAATGAACAAAAAGGGAAGGGAAATATCTTTAAGAATGCTATAGATCCTTTTTTCCTTTGATAATTTAGGAGACCATGGGTGTGCAGTGAGAATCCAGTGTGTTAGGGAAGTCAGCAAGACTGAAATAAAGGAAATGGTTTACAAATTATAAACTATATTATCCACTTAGCAATTGAAAGATTTCTTTCCTCTGCTTTTCAATTTAGATTTTAAACTAAATAGCCGAAGACCCCCTGAAAATGCTTTGTATAAATCAGGCCTGGCACATTATTTTCCATATCAATGGAGCAATTTATTTTATAAACACCCTGCACTCCAGTGTGCTTTGCAGGAATGCTTTATGCTTTGGGGAACTTGGATGGCTGACTTTTAAATGGTCTCATTTCCTTCTACCATAGCCTTGGAAATTGTTTCCAAATATGACTTTACTCTTGTTTTCCAGAGCATCTAAGCAGGAGGTAATGGTTCCTCAGTTGCCTGGGATCTGCTAGTGCGGATCATCCAGGGTGCTCTTTACAGCTCTTTTCAGTGAGAAACGCTGCCCCCCCCCAGCCTGAGAGGGGCCAGCCCTATGGGTGCCCACCCGCATAAGTATAAACCCAGAGCTGCAGGTGTGACTTGTTGCTAAGTGACAGATGATTGACATTGGCAGCGGGTGCCAAGGCAGCAGAGGCAGGGCCGGGTGCACCAGATTCCCTGGTGCCTGGGCCCTGGCTTGAGGGTTGAGAAGCATTACATTACTCCCTGCCAGTGACAGCCTCTGGGAGCCTCCACTTCTTATGCCTTCTCGATATGCTTTTGGGGGGGGAGCGTGCAAACGGTGTGAGCAGTCCAAAACCAGTTTGGTAGATACCTGTATCTTCTATCTGCCACCCACTTCCTGTCAGGTTCGAGGGGACAGAGTTCTCTCTTGTACCTTCCCAAAGCAGATTCTCCAGGCCCTGAGACTGATTATTTCCAAGTGATGTCGAAGTCCAGAACCCAAGGCGAAAGGTTCATTTCGCCGCTGACTAGCCACATTTGCTCTCTTGGCAACCTAGAAATTTCACTGTGCCCTGCTCAAGTGATGGAGAGAATCAACTTAGAAGTGTGGCGAAAGATGTTTCTTGATCTTGCTTTGTTTCGTTATTTAACCTGTGGTCATAGACCTCAAAGAAAGTGTAGACCCCGGTGTTGGTACAGGAGATAATGCACGTGTATGTGTGTGTGTGTGTGTGTGTGCACACGCGTGCATGCACTCCCAAGGAGCACTCCAGTCTCTCTTTGCATATGCATATGGTGGATATAAGCACTTCAACCGGCGCCTTTGATTTTCACATAAATTGGGTCCTGGACTGTAAAGTCACGACTCAACCAGGGGCACGCTTAGCTCTTCCGTGCCTCCCCCCCCCCCCCGTCGGTGGCGCGAAAGTCCCCGTGGCCGAACGCCTTGCCCCTCGCAGCCTTCCCAGGACTGAGCTTTCGGGTCCCGGGGCCGGTTTCTCGAGTTCCAGGCCGGGGCTGCACTGGCTGGAGCTCCCGGGCGCAGGGAACCCAATGCCCCCGGTCGGCTGGGACTGGCCCTGGCGACCTCCTCAGGGGGACCCGCGCCGCTCCCGACACCCGAACCTGGGCTCCCTGGTGGCCCCGGGCCTGGCAAGGCCCTACGGGGCTTCCGGGTCATCCCGTGCCCGACTCTGGTCCACCCCAAGGGCTGAGACCACAGTCCTGAAGAGTCAAATCAGGAGTCTTAAGTGGGAACGCGTGTGATTTTTATGGAGGAGGAGGGTGGGGTGAGGACAGACTCCGGGGTGGACAGTTCAGGGGGTGGAGGCCCCGGGGCGCCTCGGACCTCGGCAGGCGCAGATCTGGGGGGGAGAAGGGAGGCGGGGGTGCGCGGGCCGGCGGCCAGGGTTCCAGGACAGGGCCGGAGGTCGGGAGGAGAGGCCGCGGGACCAGGGCCGGAGGTCAGGGGAGGAGAGGCTGCGAGATCAGGACTGGACATGAGGCGGGGGAGGGGGCGCAGATCGGCGGGAGCAGGCGCCCCGGCTACATCTCCTTACTCAGAGGGCTTGG